AATATTACAGTCTACACTTATTTGTTCTATATGGAGGTTCTGTCGGACCCCACACAACAAAATAAAATGTTTCCTTTTTCGTTATGTGAAGTTGCTCTTGTATTTGGTAAAAATAATTATGTTGTGTTTTTAATTTTTATTCGCCGTTTTGCTGTTGAAAAATATTATTTTTTTTGGTGTGGATGCCATCTTCTATGAATATGTTTCTTAAATTATATTGGCATTTCACTTCTATTATGGAATTATCGCTATGGATTACCCCATTGTTAGGCGGTATTGATGGTTTTCTTTTGCACACTACTCCAAAATTTGAAACTGTTAATCTATATAACGTTTCTTGTCTCCAACAATTATTACTATGTTGACATCTAGCACGTTGTTCTATTCTATCTGCTTCTTCTTTTGTTTTTTTTTTTCAATAAATTGAATATCACTTCTTGTCTTCCATGAATTTCTTCTTGTGGTGGTAATTGCACATCTCCATAGTCGCTGTCCGCTTGTAGCCCAATTGGTCTAACCTTTTTGCGTTTTTTCCTTGCTGCGTCTTTCGCCGTTTCACCAACATGTTATATTTTTGTTCACAACTCTTTTCAGTGTAGTGTTCTAATTTCTTTCCCATATTTTCTGCAATTTTGTTTAAATAATGCGCACGACAAGTGAACAGAATTGCTGCAATGTGGCATCTTAGTTGGTAGGATCCACTATCAAAAACGTTATTAAGTTCCTATAACTAAACCATACTAACTTTTTTTTTAATACACTATGTAGCGAGCTATCAGCGAATCAAATTACCTTTTGCTGTTACTTAAATAATAAAGCGATTCTTATGTGGTACACGCTCCATACACTGCTAATAAAGTTGTTCACAGAAAAGAGGAAAAAACACAAGTAAAACTTTAAAACCGACTTTTACTGTTTTACTACCTTTACTACCTACATATTGCCACATATGAACTTCTATTTTAAAGGAATGCTAAAGTTTCTAATTCTTACCATTTGGTTTCCGATAAAAAAGCCACAATATAAATACAGGCAGTGCTTGCAAAAACTCTCAAAAAAAATTATTGTGGAGTTATAGAGAAAGATTGGTTTCTGAAATTTTGCATGGATACTATATGATACCTTCTCTAGTGGGCACGCATATTATTTTTTCGCTTATGATACAATTTACGCGTATTTAAATAATTTAATTGTTGTATGTTTTTAAAATAAATAAAGCGGCATGCGTGCCCACTAGATTACTGTTTCCTGATTTCAAAGCAGAAATAATCATGCATTTTGCTCTCGTATTAACCGAGATATATTGTTTGAAAGATTACATATAAAAATTGTTGGCGGTTGAACAGCCTTAAGTATTGACTTAATAATGCTCCTCAAATGATAGAATATGTGATTTTAATTAGTAAAGTTGATGTATTTCAACGACCTTTTACATTATCTTTTGAAAGTGTCTAAATAATTAACATAGCATATTGCTATTTTCATATTTTAACCCTTTGTGTCCCAAGAAGTCAAACATTTTGAAACTTTGTGACAGAATCAGACAGAATTAAAACGCTATCAAAATACACTCACAATCAGTAAAGGCCTTTGGAATAAAATTTTAATTCAATTCAAAAATTCCTGGAAACCGTGTTTATTGAAATTAAGAAATAAAACTTATTTTAAATTGAAGCTTAAAGCTTTCTGTTTAAATCGATGTATAATAATCGATGGGTTGAATTAGAAAAATATTGAGAAAAAGAGTATTGAGTTAAAACTAACATTTTCGTATAACCTAAAAGTGTCAAAAAAGATGCTAATTTAAAAATTCCTGGAAGCCGTATTTATTGAAATTAAGGAATGAGACTTATTCTAAATTAAAGCTCAAAGCTTTCTCTTTAAAATGATGTATAATAATTGTTGTGTTGGATTGGAAAAATATTGACAAAAAACATGTTGAAACAAAACTTACAATTTCTTATAACCTAAAAGTGTCAAAAAAGATGCTAATTTAAAAATTCCTAGAAGCTATTTTTATTGAAATTAAGGAATGAAACTTATTTTAAATTAAAGCTCAAAGCTTTCTCTTTAAAATGATGTATAATAATATAGTAGAAAGTACCGACTGCTCTAAATGTGCCGAATAGATAACTACAGTTTAAAATTAGTGTTTAAAACTACTGGTACTTTAAAGTACCTTCGGGACACAAAGGGTTAAGAGATTTCGTTGACAGCAAACAGTTCAACATAGGCAATATTGTTAATGAAAGAAGAGAAATTTGTTTCGTAAGTCTGAAATAAAACTGCAATTTATCCCATGTTGATTAAAAACAGATTGATTTAAAGAGATTTAAAGCAATCTGGACTCAAAGTAAACTTGTTATTTTTAAATCGCTAATTTCCACAGAAAATAAAACGTTGGTGATTAAACCTTCGACGAGAGAAAACGGACGCTCGAGCCATTAAGATCTAATCGATCCTAATTAGTAAATCTCGTGAGCGCAAACGTTTCTTGCTCGGTTGTTCCACCTTTTGTAGATTTATTTAACACAACTCAATTCACCACTAACGATATTTTTTAATTATCCATCTATTATTTTAGAAACAAAATAAAACAGACGTGTTGATTACCCCAATTACATTTGAGATGTTACGTTTTAATCAGTGACCCATCCAATTATTCGGGGAATTGGTCTACCTACAGGGATCAAACAGCTTATATATCAAGTATGACTGGTCAAGCATGAATCTGGGTTAAAATCTGGCACTACGCAATCTAATTTGTCCACTGGGCAACGTCCAGAGCGATTAAGGGGGGTATAGTGGAGTGCTACAGTACGATCACATTGTGGGAACCAGATTATCCAGTCCAAAGCTCCCCTTGGGAAATGCATGCAATATTCATTCGGCATGCGGACTTTGAGAGAGGGAGGCCAAAAGCTTCTTTGAACCAGAACCTAATGTACCGGCTTCGAACTTACTGCTTCAATATTTGAGATGCAAAAATTGCTAAAGAAAAAATAAAACGTTTCAAAAGAAACGGACGCCTTTTTGAATAATTAAACGAAGGAAGTAAAATTCTTTGCCGTATACCGGAATTTTCATATATTTCTAAGGGTTATAAGAGTAACCGCGACACGTCGACGTCCGCAATAACGCGTTTATTAAAGCGGTTCCGGCACTAGGAGAATTGTTAGCGTCCGGTTTTGCCAGAGATGAAATTGAGATTCTTGCCAATTTTCGTACACGTACGTAAGCTTGCCGCACGACACGAATGCACTCTTGAATATTCAGTTATTCAAATTGGGTGGGCTGAAGGTAAGAGCCACCCTTCAGTTTAACCAACCGACGTGTGCGATTAACTTGAGCGGAATCGTCACTTCACACGAGTCATGAAGGTTAAAGACGTCCTCTTAATCAATAAGATTTTCACAAGACTAATAGCTAAAAAAATGTATAAAGATTTTTAATAATTTTAAGAACGTTTTTTATTCGCCGAAAATCGATCATCAATACGTCACCTCTGTATCAGATGGTAATATTTTGAACGTCACGTGCACTCAAAACGGTCGTGTGACATGTCGACGTGAAAAAAAGGATGCAAGCAGCCTATCGAACGCTGTGTGACATGCATAATGCATCAGACAAGAGGCTCGTAAACACTTCATCATACTTTATGTGCTGCTCGCATACTCGACACGTTTTTAGTGGCTATTCGTCGTACGTCGGTTTTACACAAAATACAAAATCAGCAATTTAAGTGAAATAGATGTTGGCACATTTTTCCCAATTAATAAATAATTGTACTTGAAAAACAAAATAATACACCGATTTAATCCAAAAAAGGGGGATTTTGAATTCAATTTGTTTCGAATTAACGAATGCCAAATAAAACTGTACCGAACATAAACACGTTGCGAAAACGTATATACACCGCATTAACTTCCAATTTACATTGACCATTTCATTACGTTTCCATTATCGATGGTGATAGCGATATTCAAACTGAAAATGTTGTTAATTGGCAAGTAATTAATTTTCACCGAAATCACGCAAACTTTAATTTGGGTTTCCGCGAAAATTAATTAAATATTAACCGGTTAATTAATGGGGGAAAATTTCTTGGTTACAAATTTTCTGAGTGGTATAGTAAAACGTGATTAAAAATACGACTACAACTCGGTGGGTTTTAAGACTTAATAGAATTTCCAATCAGTCCACTTGGATTATTTATGAGCAAACCACGATGCTTTAAACTCAAAGCTGCTGTAAATTTCATGTGGGGAAACTTAAACTACGTATTTATACACGAAGAGGATAAATTATTTATGTTCGGTTTATAAAAATGGGTATTAAATATTGATTTAGTTGATTTAAAAAAAATGCTATTTATTTCATTGTCATATTTCTATTTTATATCAACTATATAATTATATAGTGTACCTACATTAAATGAAGATATTAAAAAAATATACCAAAAAGATATACTAGAAAAAACTTCTTTAACTTGCTTTTGTTTAAAAGCGAGGGAACTCATTGTAATATACTTCAAGTCAGAAATCTAACCAGTATCATATTTAATGAAAAAGAAATGAATTTTCTCAACAAAATTTTCACCTAAAATAAAAATTTCCCAAATAGCTATTGATTTTCATATCGTTATAAAAAACCATCCCAATTACAATGATATAAAGAATGACCTTATTCATTTCTTAACCCTTAAACTGCTGAAATACGTTTCGAAGACGGCGACTCCTTGCGCCTTATTTAAAGCCATGCTTAAATATACGTTTACAGCATTCAAATGTAGAGCGTTTATATACGTCTCTAGCAATTAGCCACTAATTTAAAAAAAAATGTATCTGATCGGATAAAGCCGAATTAAGAAACACGTGTAAAAATTTTAATATATTTATTTGTTTATAAATAACAATGGTTTTGGTTTGTTTTATAATTAATTTTATAATTAACATTTTATAAAATAAAAAATTAAATTCTTTTACATATTTACCAAAAATTTAATAATTTTTAATTGTGTGATAGTTTTCAAAACACGGTATCAAACAAAGTCCAGCATTGCACTTAGAACACATATACCGAGAATCACTTCTTTTATCATGTTTTGCACACACAACACATCTTTTTTGAGCATGCTTCTTTTTCTCGGTGGGCGGAACAAGAGATGGAAAATGACGTTCAGTTAACCGTAGGGGATTGTCACAGTCTGAGGCTTTTGGTCGTCCTGGTTTATTACTGTGTATAGGTTTATGATACTTTTGTAAAATTTGAACTATCACCTGATGTTGAAATTGACCTAAAGTTATTTTTTTACATGTGACAGTCATATACAGCGCATGGGCGTTGAACAGAGATATGTCAAAAAGATGAAAGAACACTTTTTTATACCATTTTACAGTCCTCCTAACACATTCTGCTGAACTGAGCATCATGTCACTTCGATCTACGGTACCCATATATTGATTATAATCAACGATACAATGAGGTTTTTTCTTTTCTTCCTTGGTTTCTCTGTCGATTTTTCCAGTGCCAATAACAACAGCATCATGCATGGTTGTTAGCATGCGCACTTCGCGTTTGTCTTGCCATTTTAGTGCCAACAAGCATCGCGATGATTTTGTTTGAACATTACCTTTAGCAAGTTTATGGTCTAGTGCAGGCATTCCTGTTCGATTCTTTTTCACCGTGCCACACGCGTTTGTGTCATTTTTGTGTAGGTATGCGAAGAGATGTGAACTGGTGTACCAATTGTCTACAAACAGACTGTGACGTTTTCCTAAATACGGTTCCATTAACGTTAAAACGATATTTCCCGACTTTCCTATATTGCGCGCTAAGTCATCGTCTATAGGCTTTAGGTCTGTATGTATACCGGTATATATTAGAAAATTTAAAATATATCCAGTCTGACAATCACATATCAGAAAAAATTTTACGCCAAATCTGTGGCGTTTTGATGGTATATATTGTTTGAAAAACACTCGACCTTTAAATAAAAGAAGACTTTCATCTATGCATAAACATTGAAAAGGATAAAAAGATTCACCAAATTTACTTCGTAAATGATCTACAATGTTCCTTATCTTCCATAATGCATCATCTGGCACAGTTTCATTATTGTCGACAAAATGTAAGACTCTCAGTAAAATCAGTTTTGTGATTTCAGGTATTTGTAATACATGTTGCTTTGTTCTGCAATATATCCCATAATGTCTTCATTAAAGTATAATTGAAAAAATCCAAGGCACTGCTGCTAGTAGTAAGATTCGTCACTGTAGCGCATCCGGAAATGGTAGATTCAAATCGATAAATTATTGGATTAAAATCTTCTTGTTTCCAAATAAATTCCTCGATATTTTTCTTTTTTGTTTTCTGTTTAGAATTTTTGGTATAAGTAGAAGTTGTTGGTTGTTGATCATCCGAAAAATCAGTCTCAGATGAATTTGAAGAGTCCGAAGAATCTTTAGGTATGTAAGTTGGTTGTGGAGTGTTGAAATTATTTTCGTCTTCCCATGTATCTGCTTCATCAGGTATATATACTATTTCTTCGTCATCACTTTGTGTTAATATTTTCTCTAATTCTTGGTCTGTATAATATTTGCGCTGCATTATAATTACGTTAAAAGAATTGATAAAAGTTGTTGAACGACAAAATCGAAACTGATGCGTTCTTCTCGTGACAAGAAATTTCACAAACTTGATAAACATTGTGAAAAAACAAGACTGGCCGGTTAATTCTTACAGTCATATGTTTTGCGTATAAATGCGGCTGGAGCAGCCAATGTTTAAATTTGGTTAAATTTAAGAAAAGAAAATTATCTGGGATTTAACTTTTTTTACATACAAATATGAATAATAAAATAGAAAAAAAAATTTTTTTCACTTTGAAGTAATTTAAAAATCAAAGTCTATATATACGGTTAGAGCAGCTAAACGTATCGCGTAGATATACGGGCAGAGCAGCGTAAGGGTTAAATAATAAAAATAAAAATAAAGAATTAAAATTCAATAACAACAATAGTAGCCAAAAAGAGGATTGGAAAGATATAAAATCTATAAAGAGAAAATTAACAGAAGGAAACGGTATTTTCGTAAAAGCAGACAAGGGTGCTGGTGTAGTTATATTAGATAACAATACATATTTGGAAAAAACATGAATTTTTACAAAATAACAATTATACAGGGTGAGCCAGAAAGAATGGGAAATCCGAATACCGGAGACACTAGACACCAAAATATGACAATTTAACCTAACATCTCTTATACAAATGTCGGTGGTTTTCATGGCACAGGGTGTTGAAAGTTAAATTTTTATTTCGAAATTTCTTGATAATGTCTTGCTTACATTGTCTAAGTCTACTGGTTTCCAAGTTATCTGCTCTTAATTGTTTCAAAGTAATTTTAAGGTTAACATTTAAAATCAATAACACACAGTAACAATAGCTATTAGTAACGATAATAATCGATAACAATAACAATTAATTAATAACAATAGAATATTGTGACTATATTCAAAAATCCAGTGGATTTAAATCTGGATTTCCCACTATTAGAAAACTCATTACTTCGTGGCATTTTCAAATTGGTAATAACTTTATTGTTGGTAAAAATGATTATTATACACAGAAATTAGATCAATGTTGACAATTAACAAGCAATTGTCGAGACATGAGCGGAAAAATAAGCCAACTTTGCTTATGTTAAAAAATAAAAATTTTAGAAGAAAAAATACATTTAAACATTTAAAAATAAATAATTCGAAAACCGATAGACTTAGACAATTTAAATAAGAGTACCTTTTTTATGTAAAATTGAATGCTCTTTGTGACTTGTAGCTCTAATTAGTCGTAGCTCCACAGCCAAAAAACTTATGATTTGATTTATCGAACGAGCAGTGTGTATCTAGCGCCTTCTACGAGCAATAACAAAACAAATTTCAAATTCGCATTTCTCATGCTTGAAAACATAAAACTACAAAATTTTATGCTAATAGTATAAAAAGATCCAAAATTATCAAGAAATTTCGAAATAAGAATTTAACTTTCAACACCCTGTGCCTCGAAAACCACTGACATTTGTATAAGAGATGTTAGGTTAAATCATCATATTTTGGTGTCGAATATCTCCGGTATTCGGATTTCCAATTCTTTCTAACACATCCTGTATAAAGCTTAAAAATAATCCGCTGGAGAAAATCTTTAGAAGTACAAAACAGATGATTAATAAATGTAAGGAGACCTTAGTTGAGTATACTCCATTTTTGAAGAATTTCAACTACAAATATTTTAACAGCTCATTCTTCATAAGTATGAACCCCACCATTCCAAAATTATACTCCCTCCCAAAGCTTCATAAAATAAACATGCCCATTAGACCTATTACCTCCTTTAATAACTCACCTACCCTAAAACTTGTTAATTTTATGCTAAACATATTTAAGGATATTAACTTTGTTCCGAAATACTTCATTGATAATTCCACGCAATTCATAGAAACGACTAAAGATTTAAAAATAAAAGACAAAATTCTTATTTCCTTCGACGTCACTAACCTTTACTCAAATGTTCCAATTGACCAAACATTGGAAATAACATCAAAAATGTTTAACTCATTTTCAGATAATAAAATGATCGTCGACCATTTAAATTACGTTTTAAAACACATAGTCACTCAAAATTATTGTACATTTAACAACGAATACTACTTTATCTCGGAAGGTTTACCTATGGGCATGCCTTTATCAGGTCTACTACCAGATATCTTTTTAGACTACATCGAACAAAACTATATTATAAATAAGATTAATCCTCACAAGAAAAATATTAGTAAATGGGTGAGATATGTCGACGACGTTTTTTGCATCTGGGAAGGGAACAGAGAAAAATGGATGAGTTTTTTGAATTACTTGAATAAAGTTAATAAGAACCTTAAATTTACTATAGAAATTAAAGAAAATAATCAACTTAATTTCCTAGACTTAAATTTAACAAGAACAAACAAAGATAAAATTGAATACAACATTCATATCGGTGAATGTTAGTTCAAGGACTGACACGTGCCAAACAAATTCGCCAAAGAAGTTTTCTGATAACATAAAGGATAACACATGCAGCTACCGAAAGTATCTTCGGGAGATGCATTTTACAAACAGCAACTTAAAGCAAATTGGAAACTTCAAAGATCGGAAAAATTCCATCAATGAGCCCATAAATTTTGTCAAACTATATCATAACATAATGAGTTCTCAAATAAAAAACTATACGTCTCAAAATAAAAGGCACGCATTGATTTTGGCTCAAACTGGTCAGTTTTCCTGTATTGAACATAGTTTCCCATAATTTGGACATAATTTTATGCACTACGATTTTATGCGTTTGGGAAAAAAATATTGAAAACTAAGCTTTTAGTCAAAATGTACGGTTGTATGGTAAATTTTAAAACACGGAGTGACACAAAAAGAAATGTTACATTTAGCACGCATATATCTTATTTCTTTATAAACCCATTTATTGTGTTCGGTCTTCCTTCTTGAGCAGAGGAAACACTGTCGAGTTCGATTTTGTTTCTTTGCTGCTTATGGCATAAATGATAGAAAATGTCTTACTGATAATTTCAATGGTGAACTTTTGCTCCGAACCCATCCAGCATTTGATCCATCTGTGAACATGCAAATATCGAGTATTAATCACTGATAGTGATCCCGCCAAATCTGACGGGACAGTATCACTGCTTATAATGTCTTCCGCAGCCCATTGGTAGGACATGTTGGAACAGTTTTGAACATATTGCTTAAATCTGTAAATGGTGGTTCTAGCCACTTTCTCTATATGCAAATGCAAAGGAGATAGGCCAAGCAGAACATCCATTGCTAGAGGTAGCGTTGTGCTTATCGCAGCAAAGATTGCCAATCCAGCTACTAGTTGAATTCGTGAAAGTTTACTGATAACTATAGACTGACGAACTTTCTTATACCAGGCTGCTGCTCCGTATGTGATCATAGGTCTAGCCACAGTCACATAGAGTCAGTACAGTCTTTCAGGAGTAAGACCCCAATTTTTTCCACAAAGACTACGACAAGTCCACAAGCATAATCTAGCTTTATGGAAAACTCCGTGCAAATGTCCATTCCATGAAGAGGTTTTTGTCAAGGATTACTCCTAAGGTTGGGCGAATTAGTCCAACTTTCGTCTCCTTGTTTAGGGCACAATGATTGTCTTTTGCGGGTTTATTGAGAGATTCTCTCCCTTACACCAAGCGCAAATGGTATCTAGGGTCACCTAATATAGACATATACTTTAAATTATATCTTTTAGGTTATTTAATTCTCCATACTCTTCTTGTAGTGCTTTTGGATAGTGTAAACCACGAGATGATAAATAAAAAATATAATAAATAAGATAAATAATAATAAAATAAGTATCATTTATGATATAGGAATGTTCTTCCCTTGCACTGGAAACAACCCGACTTAGTTTGAGATGCTCTATAACCATTACTCTAAGGTGATCTTCGTGTTATTTAACCTTAATATCAAGAATATCATCAATACAACACGTTGAGAAGAATTTTTGCGAACGTTATTCACAAATAGTTCTTTTACAAGTAAAATGTTGTAATAGCACTATCGAAGGTTGAAGTAGCAGAACGATAACATGTTTTTGGAGTGCTCTATGCACAATACGTTGCAAAGGTGTAAAGAAGTATAAACTACGCGATGAAAATGTTCACTAAATGGAAATAACTTTCATAGTAATAAACAAAAATTACCAACAAATAAGACATCCTGTTTTGT